TCAGGACATATGGATAGAGAATACATTCAAATTAATAAGAAATGCCAAATATCAAGGTACTCAATCACTGATAGCAGTTGACTATCATATGTTTTAATGTCATTTATATGAAAGTTAAGACTGAAACTACCTTTTACCTCATCATAACTAATGAAAAATTGTGTGAAGAAAACATTCACAGCCTCTTTGAAGCACTTAGACCACTAAAAAACAAAAATTTTCACGTAAATATGTTGTGTCTCCTTCCTTCAAAACATCATATCGGATGGCGCCACTTTCGTCGACAGTAACTTATCTGCACGCAAATCGAGGAAAACGTGAATTGATTGACGTTTACGTGTTTCCGAATTTAAAATCACAGCATATTCAAACTTTTCAGTGTACCTTTTAACATCTAAGTACAACTAAAACGATAAAAACTTACCCTCAACACAAGGACGACGACAACCACGCGACCGGAGACGTCGCGACGAAATAAACAAACGGCGCCGCCAAATGAAAAATATTCTCCGATATGGGTAATGTGAAATTGAATCGCAATCATTTTGGGTAGTATAAAAAATGCTCTTTCCAACAGAACCCTAGTAAAAAACGTGAATGGACAAAAAATAACTTTTATTTCGACATAAATATTGGCCTGTTTTTAAGTCATCCTGGTATGCCGTAAGATTTCGACCTAGAAATTGGTGTTCCCCCAATCATTGAAGCTTGAGCAGTGAAAAATATGAAAGCCTAATCTGTTTTGCATCATTAGTGATTCTCCTAGGGTGTTGCCATTTCTCCCTAGGTGTTGCGAGTTGCTTTTGCAAAACGTGTTCCTGAAACGGCTCAATTTTTTGAGCCCTCAGCATTACGCCTATGGGAGCCTCTGACGTCACACGCTCAATATTTTGAGCGCTCAATAATTTGAGCTTTTCCCCCTTGTGCGTGGGACTGAGACAGTATAAAGGTGCGCAAACGTGCGCCTCAGCGCCTATGCAACATTTTGCAATACACTGCTCACCAAGATCCCGTGCCCCACTGGAGAGCTGGGCCCTGTTTCACCGGTGATAGCAGCACGCTGCTTTTACAGTGTCAAATTGGGTTTCCATGGAAACATCAACAGGCCCATTGCTCCAACACTACAAGTGTGACGTCAGCTCGCGCAATTTGATAGCAGCGTGGTAGCAGCGTCCCGTGAAACACCGCCCTGTTATTCATAGCCCCCTCCTAACTCCAAAACTACTGTACCGATTGTCAAAATTCAAACGCCGTCTCTGCAGTGCATGATAAAAATGGCTTTGCTATCCTTAAAGTAACCATTAGAGCCCTACCAATAAATTTCGAAAAGTGACGCCCTTGGTAGGTAACGCTAGTGTAGCTTGACCTTAAAAATCAATTCAAACTTACCTCACAGCAAAAGCCGGTATTGGTATAGTTACGATGAAACTCCCAAACACGTACAAGACAAAAGTACACAATTTCCCGTCCGGATATCTAATTTTTAGTTTGATATTCGCGAATATCAACCTGCTGCTCAATTGATGGACGTAATTTACACACACAATACACCACAACACCCACGGTCATATATACACATCCCTACATTGACATGCACAAAAACCGCTGAATCGAAACTGCAACTCAACTCAAGCTTTAAGCCATGGAGTACAATCAAAATTCTAGATTAAATTTTAATCGGTCATAAGAAACAAAGATAGGTTAGTTTTTCGTGAATTCTATTGGAGGAAGATAAAGAATTATTTCCTTTACGGCAACCCAATTGGTCATTCTGTAATGACGTCAGTAGAATTTCGAGAATACTGAATAAAACTTTGGTTTCAACTTTGCGGCAAATGATGAGGCATATTTGGAGCAGGAACCTTGGTAGGGAAATCCCTTTATCGCCTTTATCCTGGACACCGTTCACCTGCGACATATGACAATTTCTGCCTCTGGCAGGGCCTCCTCTAACATACCCACTGGGTGGGCAAATGCCCACCCAGTCGCCACAATTGCCCACCCAGTGGCGTCGATTTGCCCACCCAGAAGCAAATGCAAAAATAAAGGTCCGGCCGGACGTCCGGTACTACCTTTCCGGTCTTAAGCAAACTGGATGCTGTTTGAAGGTCAAAAAAAGTTTTCTGGTTGCTCGATATTAAGGAGCGTAGCCAGGATTTCCTCAAGGAGGGGGCTAAACGCACAAGGGCGCAAGATAACCCCCTCAAAATCCAAAAAGCCATCGGGTTGCATCCAATATTTTTTTTGGATGGGGCCCAAATAAATGGAAAAAATATTCATTAACAAACAATATTAGAACTGAGGGGGTAAGCAGTATATGGGCCCCTGTTAGACAGGCCCACGAATAGCTTCATAGAGTCGCCAGCCGGTTCTGATGGCGGTCTGAGGACCCGTAGGTCGGATGAGGGTTCTTCAGACCGTCACAGGCCCGCTATAGCCCATGAGAGCCTCGTAAGCCGTCTGAGGGTCATATAAGCCGTCTAGGGCCACTCAGACCGACAAAAGGCCCCTTGCACTTGCAGAGGCCCAGTCAGGCCGACGTAGGGCCCTCTCAGACAAACTAAGGGCCCGTTCAGGTCATTTGAGGGCCTCCTCAAACCGATAAGGGCCCCTCAGATCGACAGTGGATCCGATCCGAGCTCCCTCAAACCGATATAGGGTCAGACCAACAGTCGGAACGCATTGATTCTGTTTACACACCGTTGGACCCAAGTTGGACCCATCCCATCCAACTGGCCCCCTGGTTTCAATAGGGCCCCAAGGCTCTAAAATTGGGTCTCTCTTGGCCAAAGAATAACTACTCAGCTGTGTCAAAGGATCTGCCGCAGGGCCTTTGCGTCGCCAAGGGCCCACTGTGTCAGTCAGGGGCCTCTATGGAATAAGGACCCCTGGCTTCCAGGAGGGGCCATGGTCCCTTTGGCCCCCTCCTTGGCTATGCCGCTGCAGGTGACAAACGTTCTTTCAGACGACCAGGGGGCAGGGGCCCAGGCGACCAGAACCCCAGGTGACCAGGGGCCCCCAGGCGACTAGCTCCCCCCAAGCGACCAGGGGCCCCCTGGGCGACCAGAGGCCCCAGGAAACCGGGGGTCCTCGGATGAGTGCAGGGGCCCATTGGGTAATCAGGGGCACCTCGGGTAACCAGGGCCACAGAAATGAAACTTGAATTGATATAAATTTGCTTCCGAGTAAAATACGTTTTATCCAGTGTTAGAAAAAAATATCCCGGGGCCTGTGGGGCCCCCATGGCGCCTTCTGCGCTCAAGGGAGGGGGCCATTGCCCCCGTGGCCCCTCCCCTTGGCCACGCCCCTGCCGATATTGGAGTTATCAAGTAATTGTCTCGTAAGTGAAAAGGCACGCAATAAAGGTACAACCCTCTGCAAGCTGCGTGGTAGGTATCTTTTTTCGACAAAACCGAGAATAACGCGAATACGCTAACGGTCATTCGGAAATCGTAACAGCAAGACGCGCGAGACTCCGCACCTTAGATTGGGCTTATTTTGGTATACATTTTCCATCTAGTTTGACAACAACACACAAAAGTTTATATTTCCCCCCAAAACAAACTTTTGCTTTTTGCTACGGTAAGAGTACACATTGTTCAGTGACTGAATTAATCGAAGGGGTGGAGCATGGCGCATCTATATGCAATGTGTTCCGACCGACTGATTATCATAACCTTTGAGATATTAGGTATCGGTTTTGTCGAAATAAGAATACCTACCACGCAGTTTTTGCGGAGGGCTGCAAGTACAGCCCTCTGCAGACTGCGTGGTAGGTATCCTTTTTTTCGACAAAACCGAGAATAACGCGAATACTATGCTATCGGGCACTCGGAAATCGTAACAGAAAGATGCGCGAGACTCCGCAGCTTAGATTGGCATTATCATCGTATGCATTTTCCATCCAGTTTGGCAACAAAACCCAAAAGTTTATATTTGCCCCCAAAACGAACTTAAACATTTTGTTGCCACACAAGGCGTAGGTATGCTTTGTTTATTGATAGGCCCTATCGAAGGAGTGGAGCATGGCGCATCTATTTGCAGTGAGCTTCGACCGACTGATAACATGACTTTTGAATTATAATCAGTTTTGTCGGAAAAAGAATACCTACCACGCAGTCTGCTGAGGGCTGTACATGTAATCTGGAACGAATCGCTCGAGCATCGCTAACCATAAAACATACGACAAACGTTAACTATCATTTTATTTCCAATAATGGCACAGCTTATTTCGTCTCATCCCCGCACCCCCCCCCCCCCCCGGTAACAGGTTTTGAAATTGGTTGAACCCCAAAACAAGTGGCTGGATCCGCCCTTGGGCGGGGAAGTGGCGAAAATTTTGCCCACCCAGTGAAAAATCCTTAGAGGAGGCCCTGGCCTCTGGAACTTCTAAACTCTAAAGGTACAGCAAGAGAAGAGCTTGCCACATCTCGGCATTAACAATGACAATTTCTTAATGGTTTGTGTCTCTGCAACCTCATCAGTCCGAATAGTTTTTGCTGGAGCTGGAAACTATCTCGTTTTAAGTATAAGTCATAACATTACATTGGGTTTGTTCCCGTCGCTCCTCTAACCTCCTCCAAGCTCCTCTAACCTCCTCTCGTTTCAAAAAATCGTTCCCGTCGCTCCTCCAAGCTCCTCCAAGCTCATCTTGATTTCACATCTCACCACCACTATTTGCCTCCTCCCTCATCCCAAACGAAAGTTGGTTTTTTGGAGGAGGCTCTTGCGTAGACATATTTGGCGCACGTAATACGAATGTGAATTGCTTATAAATGAGATGTGAGGGAAGTGGAAATGATTTTAGTGATTGATGACGATTGGATATCTTTAAATAGTAATGTTTGATATTAATCTAAGGTTATTTTATTAGAAAGCGATTATTATCTCTTGATTTATATTTGCGCGCCATAAATCGCCGACCGTTACAGCCCGCAAACAGCTGATTTCCTCGCGAAAATGTTCCCGTGGCTCCTCTGAAACGGCTCTCCTCCAAGCTCATCCAACCTCATCCGAGATTTTTTGGGAGGAGCGACGGGAACAGACCCATAACTTCTTGTTTTTTTTGGCCACTTCAGCTCATCATTATTGCATTTTTCATCGCTAGTGTATTCTTATCCTTATGCATCCATGATCCTTGCTTGCACAACGATGAATAATGAAAGGCGTGCGGTGCTAGTAAAATATAGTTTTTTTTACATTCACAACAAAAAATACTTTCCTCTAAGACAGCTACCATATGCTGCTGAACATGACGCGTCTGTTACAGTTACTGCTCAGGGGAAAACACCTAGCGTGGTGCACGTGGGTGTGGTGTAAGTCAATATACCCTGGGTGTGTGTGTGCAAGGCGTGGATAACTAACAAGTAATCCATGGTGCAAGATTCTTACAGATAGGTGTGTGCGGACTGCGGTGAGTTTGAGTTGGTTTGAGTTAGGTAACCTAACTTAGGTTGTTATTGGGTAGTTATTTGCAGTAAGAGAAATGAAATCCTGGATTGAACCAAAACTAGCAAGGTTTGTGCTGGTCTGAACATCGTCAAGGGAAAAAGTTTAGGTACTTTTAACATGGGGTTTTTAAGTAGGTACTGGAATAGCAGTTTTGTAGCTTGAGCTGAGTCTATTACAAATCAGTTGGGGAAACAACGAGGTAAAGATCCAAAAATTGATCGGTCAATAAATAAACATCATCATCATCATCATCACCATCATCATGTATTCGTATGGCATCCGTTAAAACACGGCTTTTCAGCACAAGACAGTAGGTGGAACTATGGTCATGAGTACCCAAATATAGGAACGTTCCCATTTTTGGGAACGGAGTTCCCAAATATGGGAACGGGCGTTCCCATTTATGAGAACGGAAGGTAATTTTTCGGCCGTTCGCCGACTAAAACTCATTAGTGCATCACGTCTCAAAAAAGTGCACGCTAATTTAAGTATCTACTATGTCTCTATAAAATTATCTTTAATCTGACCGTGGAACAAGGAAATTGACCGTCGAATGATATTTTTAATGATTTTTTGAAATGACGGAATGGTGAGAACATGGGCTATACTACATTTAACTTGCAATTTTAAGGAAAATGAAGCGTTTTTTTTACATTTTGAGGTCAAGTATAATAATTTTCGCCTGGTTATGAAGTTTCATACTAGCGACACCAGATGCTGACGTATGCAAGCGAACACGCGGACAGTCCCAGGGTAATATTGTTGACATTTGGTGTCGGGGCGCACGACCGCATGGAACGTCAGTGATTTTACCGAACTACTGTTGTAAACTCAGTTTCAGTGGTTTAAAATTATTCAGCTGTATTTTATCATCCCGAAAAGACATATTTTATTTGGATGCTAGCTGTTAAGAGTTGTTTTATAAGGAGCGTCATGAGCGTTGTTTTTGTCTTCCGTGTTTCTAATCGTGATCGTTTTGGGGGAATTTCTCTTATATAGGTCGCTCTGTGTGGCTTATTTATAATTTTTATGCTGATTTCGATCATTCCTCGTGCCCATCCTACCAGGCCTTTTGCCACTTACACTTATCAAGAAAGAAAAAAACTAGATTTTCATTGGGACTAGGTGTTTTGAGGGTGTAACATATTCAGCGTTCCCATTTTTGGATACTTCCTTGTGCTCGTCAACTATCGGTGATAAACAGACAGGTGCTTGACATGTCTCCGCCCTCAGCGCGGACGGTGGATATAGGTATGGAAGACTTTGTTGAACATCGCTGAGCGTTGTGAATTACGTAATCCTGCAGAGGGGGGCGTGCCCGCTGCGAGATCGACGGGAATAAAAGTGCAGAAGACCGGGCGAAACATGCGACGGTCTTGCCGGAAAGGTCATCTGATGATTGTTGCGTTAACAATAAGTTGCGGCGTTGGACGTGATGCTTGTTAATGAAAAGAGCCCCTGAAAGGCGTCGGTGAAATCGTTCCCAATTTTGGGTACGCCGTTCCCATAATAAGGAACGCTTGCAGCGCCAGTGTACGAGAGCGTTCCCAAATTTGGGCTCGCGGCCCGGATGATGGACTGCTTTAGAAATAGGGGAACGATTTGAAACTACGACGGGGTTACAATATCAAACTCTTTCCCAACAATATTGAGACAAATATCAGGCGGTTCACGATCGTTTTATATTTTTTGGACGTCATTTAACGGTTCTTTTTCTTGTTTTAAATAATGCCTACTTGGCGTTCCCATATTTGGGTTTATCGTTCCCAAACATGGGAACGAAAATGCGTTCCCGAAAAAGGATACGCTTGACCATAGTTCCGCCTACTGAAGAGTCATTCCATAAATGCACTGTCCTTAAAGGGACCCTCCCACCTTAACATTAGATTTGAGTTGAGATAGCCAAATTGGTGGCCATGGCCTGAAAATACCGGTTTGGGCACTCACAACATCGAAAAATGCTTTAATTCGGAGATATCGAATTTCAAACTTGCAGTTTTCGGATTCTAAGGGGCTAATGCATTGGTATGCCCCCTTAGAATTTGTGACGTCAGCGGAAATCTAACGATTTTAAATCTTTTACTAAAACGTTTGGTAGCACGCGGTGGTATATGCTGCTTTGCGCGCAACAAATGCCGCACTATCAAATAAAGTCGCTAGGAACAGCGGAGATCCCAAAAAGTAAACAAAAGTAAAAGTCTAATATCTTGAAAACCGGTCAATATTTTTCGATGAAATTTGGTAGATATTCGTTTTTGCTCTTTCTGAACCGAGCGACATCACTTTCATGCCAATTCATTAACTTTTTTGAAGGTGGGAGGGTCCCTTTAAGGCTAATGATCTAAAAACCTACTAAAATACTACGAATAAGCCATTTATACTCATTTTCTAAGAGATGCTGTTAAAATCCAAGTTACCTACAAGCGTGTTTTAAAATAAGCGGCGGATGAGATCTATTCTATCTGGGTAAGACCAGCCCGACATTTCCGCATCCCCGCGCGGAACGCTACGACCGTGCTGGCGTGGCGAACCTCGTTCGGCCACGCCAAAACGTGTTGTCTTTTACAGTACACAAGGGGCGGCAATAATAGACATATTTTATAATATACCTTGAGCTCGGGCAGTCACTTGTTTTCCCATAAACTGCTGAAAACGAAATGTCCCATGCACGAAAGTGCCCCACTCTCCCCTAAGGCATTGTTTCAAGCAACTGCCCCCATACCAACTTTGAAAACAATTCTCCGCCCATGCCTCTGGGTTTGGTTAGGCATGGTCTGGGGTACGAGAAAGGGCACTGGAGTGGAAGGAGTGTGCTAATTGTCATCTTGTTTTTTATAACCATTATCTCCTGTCTGGCATACCATAGTTGATACAGCCACTCATTCCTTTCCATTATGTCATCTTTCTGGTTCATGTTTGAACTGAAATTCTGTCAACATCTGTCAATGTCTGCATGGTCTTCACTCACATGCCATATTTGGGCCTGTTTCGCTGTTGGATAAGTTGGCATCTACAGTCATATGTTTTTTTTCTTTAACCCGCGCCCCGCTGGGCTATTCAGCCATACGCGCCCTGCTGGGGGGGGGGGGGGCAGATTCTGCCCCCCCCCCCCTGTCTAACTTCCGAACCGATGGTCGTAGAAAGACGGGGAAAACGGCAATCGAAAGCTCTCAACAAGGCGGATCTTAAGAGCCCAAATTTTTTTGCTTAAGTAGGTCAGAGGTCAGGTCAAGGTCAGGTCAAGGGTACAAGATGCAAGTTTCTACAGTATCGGCCTTGCACCGTAGTTGCCGAAGAATGGAGTGAGACTGATTGCCCAAAACGTGTTCTTAGACTACCAAGACAATATTCGTTGCATACAATGTCATTCAAAGGTCAAGGTCAAGGTCAGGTCAGGTCATGTCAGGTCACCAAAAACAAAATATAGAAAAGGGCATGTGCGACACATGTTTTATGGGTCATTTTACTCATAGAATTCAATAGGCGCACTCAATAAGTGATATGGACCACCTCTGGATGAATTTCAGGTCGAGGTCAGGTCAAGGTCAGGTCAAGTGAGGTCAAATTTTGAAGTTGGTTGTTAAGGCCTAAAAAGGTGTCTATCTGATGCAGTTTTTCACGACGAATCGAATGGTGCTATTTTTGTTTCCGTACGAGGTCCAGAACTTCCAAAAAAAATCATTTTTCAAAAAATTTTGTCTGTCGTGACGTCATAAAATTTTGAATAACTCCCACATTTTTGAACCGATTCTTCTAAAAATTGGTATGTAGGTGCACATAGACCACTTCTTTGACATGTATTCCGGTTTTTTCGATACACTCAAAATTTTGGATTTTATAAATATTTTCCCAAAAAAGTCAGTTTTTTGAAGAAAAAAATTTGGGCCAAAATCCAAAATTTTCAAAAAACCGAGATAGCCATTTGATAGACAAAGTAGAATCACGTATAACCTTTTTTGTTACGTCTTGATTCCTTTAAAAATGAAGATGTTAGCGGCGTTTGAAATTTTGCCATTTTTGAGGCGAAAATGGCGAACATGACGTCACTAAAACGTCAATTTCTCAAAAATTTTCCGACGGATTTCGCTCAAATTTTCAGGGAACGTGTCAAATTAATGTATGATAAGGTACTGAAAGTTTGACGTCGCTGGCGTAACGCGTTTAGAAGTTATTGGCGAAAAACGGGAGGGGGGCAGATTCTGCCCCCCCCCCCCAGCGGGGCGCGGGTTAAGTTCTTGCACTGAATAAAGGAAGGTATCGTCGGAGGTCGAGTTTCCGCAGCAAAGCACGTGCAGATGCTCAATACCAATTCCTTGACTGTAAGCCCCACCCCAGCCTCGGCTTGTGTCCAGCTACACCAATTGGAATCGGCGCGTCTCCGAGTGGTCTCCCTACTCAATCCTCTCCCCAATAGTTTGGCTGCGGAAGCTTATTTGGCTGTGTTTAGCTTAACATGGATGAAAATCCTTGATCCATGCATAAACCAAATCCGCCAAAGCACCAGACTACTTACCGAGCACTCCAAGGGTCAGTCATGAGTCAGTCGCCGACTGAACTCTGGAGATAGCGAGCCGCCAGCTATATCCACCCCGAGGCACCGGTTCGCCATCTTAGCCCACCGAGACGGGCTGTGACAGGCAGGCTGTCTCGGTGGGTTTATATAACGAGTCGACAACTAGCCCAGGAGTCGAGTTCGACGGGTGTGTGTGTGTGGGAGGGGGGGGGGGGTTAAACACTCCATCCCGGCATTGGCCAGGTGCGGGCTAATATAAACTGCAATCGGCAGCAGCACAGCTCACGTATTCAAACTTCTGTTGCCCAGTGTGACGTTTTCTTTTTCTTTTTCCAGGTTGAGATTGTAAGAAGGAGTTAGCAATGGGCAGAAAAGCCAAGTATGGTGAGTTGGCGGGTTCTGGGAGGCGCCCAAAAGTAAAGCCCAAACATCAGCTCGCCCCTGCACCTCTTAAGCCAGCCTCTCTTCAAAAGAAGGTGAAGGTGAACAAGGAAATCGTTTCTCCTGTTTCAAAGAAAAATTTGAAGAGTGGCATTAAAACACACTCAGCTACCAAGAAGGAGAACAAGAAAGCACAGCCACCACCTGACAGTGAGGAGGACGAGGATGATAATGTTTCCGAGGAGGAGCCCTCTGAGGACGATGACTCGGGTGACGATGATGACCAGCTGCCAGCGCAGCCGTTCACAGATGACAACGACGAGTGGCTCAAGCCCAAACCGTCACTGCTCAACTCCGATGACTCTGACGATTCCGATGGCGCGCTGGCCGATGACTTTGGTGGTGACGAGGCTTCGGACGCCGACGCCGACGAAGACAGTGATGGCGGGGATGTGGACGGCGATAGTGATGAGTATGGGGACAGTGACGACGAGAGCGGCGAAGACGAGGCCGGCCTGCTGCCAGTTGAGCGTGCCGCCAAACGGCTGATGAAAGAGGAGAAGAAAGAGCGTCGTTTGGCGCAAAAGGAACTCGACAGCTCCGTCAAGATCAACGTGGCGGAGGAGGACCGGTTCGTGCTGCCGTCGGCCGAGGAGCAGGAGCGCGAGGCCGGCCTGCCCGCCGACCTGCAGGCGCTCAAGACGCGCATTCATGACATCGTGCACGTGCTGTCCGATTTTGCAGCGCGGCGCCAGGCGGACCGGCCGCGCCAGGACTACGTGACGCAGCTGCGGCGCGACTTGTGTCTCTACTACAGCTACAATGAGTTCCTGATGGAGCGGCTGATGGACCTGTTCCACCTGTCGGAGCTGCTGGACGCGCTGGAGGCCAACGAGATCCAACGGCCGGTCACCATTCGCACCAACACGTTGAAGACGCGCCGGCGCGACTTGGCGCCGAGCCTGATCGACCGCGGCGTCAACCTGGACCCGATCGGGCCGTGGTCCAAGGTCGGACTGGTGGTGTACAGCTCCCAGGTGCCGATCGGCGCCACGCCAGAGTACCTGGCCGGCCACTACATGTTGCAGGGCGCCTCCAGCATGATGCCGGTGCTGGCGCTGGCGCCGCAGCACGGCGAGACGGTGCTGGACATGTGCGCCGCACCCGGCGGCAAGACCACTTACATCGCCGCGCTCATGAAGAACACGGGTATGGTGTACGCCAATGACGCCAACGAGGCGCGCGTCAAGGCCGTGGTGGGCAATCTGCACCGGATGGGCGTCACTAATGCCGTCATATCGTGCACGGACGGCCGCGAGATGCCCAAAATCCGGCCGGCCGGCTTCGACCGCGTCCTGCTGGACGCACCTTGTTCGGGCACGGGCGTTATCGCAAAGGACCCGGCCGTGAAGACCTCCAAGGACGAGAAGGACATCCAGCGGTGTGCGCAGCTGCAGCGCCAGCTGCTCCTCGCCGCCATCGACTCGGTAAACGCCAAAAGCAAGACGGGAGGGTACGTCACCTACTCCACGTGCTCGATCCTCGTGGAGGAAAACGAGGCGGTCATCGAGTACGCGCTCAACAAGCGCAACGTCAAACTTGTCCCCACCAGCCTCACCGTCGGCAAGGAGGGGTTCGCCAAGTTCAAGGCCAAGCGGTTCCACCCAAGCATGACGCATACGCGCCGATTCTACCCGCACACGCACAACATGGACGGCTTCTTTGTGGCCAAGCTGAAGAAGTTCTCGAACACGATCCCGGGCACCGAGCCGGCGGCCGAGGAGCAGCCCTCCGGGCCGGCGCCGGCCCCGCCCCAGAAGAGGAAGGCGGACGTAGACGCCAACGACGACGAGGGATTCGACGAGGATGACAAAGCAGCGGCGCCCTCGCCGCAGAAGAAGAAGAGGAAGGCTCCGCAGGGACAGCAAAAGTCGCCGCGCAGTAAACATGTCGGTGGTAAGCCGGGAGCCAAAGGCAAAAAGTGGCAAAAGTCGGTAAACCCCAAGGCGCGCAATCCGAAAAAGAAAGGGCTCAACAAAAAGCCGTAAGAGTCATGTGGAACCTTGTGTAATGTGCTGTTTTGGGAGGGGAATACATTGACAATATACTGTGGTGTCACAAATAGTGTGGACGGTTTATTCGCGAGTTCTGTAGCTGAAGCAAGATAAACTGTAAGTTCCTCTGGCGAAAAAAAAAAACTAGCCAGAACACGTATTATTGGTCTCACGATACGGGCTCAGGGCCTCAGGCGATCTCTAGTTTTGATGCGGTGAATACCCTTCACGAGCAACCCCGCCGTCAGACTCGGGCCGAGTACACCCCTCATCCCCAACCAAACCCACTACCCTCTTGAGTTGTGGCGAGGGTACTGGTATTTACCGCATCCGAACTCAATGTCGCCTGGGCCCTGATCTTGAGACCAATAGTACCTACCTATCTGCCTCATCTCTATTTGTATGTGCTCAGACCAGTTTTTTTTTAACCAAACAATTTCAATGTTATGTCACGATATCGGCCGCATCCGGAAGACCGGGGGCACGGCCCCGCTGTGGGTGTCACGTGGTTCGCGACATGTCTGTTCCGATTACATCGTCAATGCTTGCGGTCCAGCTGTTCGTTTCATACTCGGCTCTCGTCATTTGGTAACTAGATAGTTACTCTTAGCTACTACCCAGTAAACATGCCGACGCCGGCCCAAACATCTGGGTAACGTCGGCATCTCGGCATCGGCATGCCGACGTCGGTCCAGCCTCGGCACGGCGTCGGCTGGACGTCGGGTACGTCCGCATATACCGACGTCCAGCCGAGATCCAGCCGACGTCGGGCCGAGATCGTTTGCCGAGGCTGAGCTTTGTGTGCGCCGTATCGAGGGATGATGTCGGTAAGCCGAATTCCAGCCTTAAGATCTCATCGAGAGATGGCGCTGATGTCCAACATCTAAAATGGGGACCCGTTTTCACGAATAGCTGCCAGCTGGTGATGTTTAGAGCTAAGGCAAAAGCGTGAATAGTGTCGGGTGCGCGAATAGGTCACAATGATATTTACAGGGGCGCACCCAGGATTTTCCAGGGGAGGGGGCCCGGGCTCAAAGGGGCCCCCGTATTCTGCTTGTCAGTGACGTGCGTGAAGATAGCGACGTATTCAGCGACAGATTCGGCGTCGGATTCAGAATTCGCTGAAAACACGTTATCAGGTCAAGAAGGACACGCTGATTTAAAAAATGGACAAAACACATTTATAAGGCCATCTTCAGGGTCAACTTTGAGGTTTAAGGACGGGGTACCCAATAACGTCCAGAATTATTGGCGCAAGAGGACCAAAACTGGTCATACATGATAGCTCGTCACCAGGGCCTCGTCTAAGAGATTTTCACTAGGGGGGGGGGGGGCAGAGAATCAAGGAGCCAAAACTGGGGTACCCCCAAATCCTGTTTTCTCACCGGATTTAGGCCACTTAGGTATTTTTCATCACAGCCGGGCCCTGAAACCTGATGAACTTTTTGTGAACACTAAATATCTCGAATTTATGGAAGGAGCGGGCTAAAAATGGTCCCAAACGACGGCCAGCCTCGTTGGCTATCCTCCGCTACCCTGACCTTTGATCTAGCCCTTGACCTTCAGGGTCAAACACCAGGTCAAAGATAGGGACCATGTCCCAAAGAAAGAGTAGGGCGAAATGTGAAGAAGTTGATCTGCCACGTCTCAAACAACCATGCCAGTGGATGCTTGGCCGCCAGGGCTTCATTTTATTCTGCCTGACCTTGACCCTAATGTTTGACCTTAGAGGTCAAACTCTAGGTGAAAGGACAGGGTACCCAATAACGTCCCGAATTATGGGCGCAAGAGGACCAAAAGTGGTCATACATGATAGCTCGTCACCGTGAGCAGCCTCCGTGACCATTACCTTGACCCTAATGTTTGACCTTAGAGGTCAAACTCTAGGTCAAAGGACGGAGTACCGGATAACATCCCGAATTATGGGCGCAAGAGGACCAAAAGTGGTCATACATGATAGCTCGTCACCGTGGGCAGCCTCCGTTACCATGACCTTGACCTTTGACCTTCTAGGTCAAATTTGAGGTCAAACGACGGGGTACCGGAGAACGTCTCGATTTTATGGAAGGAGCGGGCTAAAAAACGGTCCCAAACGACGGCCAGCCTCGTTGGCTATCCTCCGCTACCCTGACCTTGGCTCATAGCCCTTGACCTTCAGGGTCAAACAACAGGTCAAAGATAGGCACAATTTCCCAAAGAAAGAGTAGGGCGAAATGTGAAGAAGTTGCTCTGCCACGTCTCAATCAACCAATGTCAGGGGATGCTTGGCCGCCAGGGCTACATTTTATTCTGCCTGACCTTGACCCTAATGTTTGACCTTAGAGGTCAAACTCTAGGTCAAATGGCGGGATACCGGATAACATCCCGATTCCCGAATTAGGGGCGCAAGAGGACCAAAAGTGGTCATACATGATAGCTCGTCACCGTGGGCAGCCTCCGTGACCATGACCTCGACCTTCAAGGTCAAATTTGAGGTCAAACGACGGGGTACCGGCACGCCACTGGCTTGACCTTAGGTAACGGATATAAAAAATCCGAGATATACAAATTATAGGCGCCCAACATCATGCCGTATGTATATAGAGAGTGAGTGTCCAGTGATTAAATCGTTATGCCTGTGTTCTACTGCCCCTGCATGTTTTTGTTCCAACCCGTCTCAGACTCTGGACTGTATTCGCCACGCCCCGTGTGGATTGTCCATGATTGTAATACATACATACATACATACATACATACATACACAATCCACCAAGTTTAAAAACTCTGACAAACACAGCAGGCTGGACATTGATATGACAATGTGATTGCAAACTGTTTTTTAGACTTGATCAGTTAACTTGAGCTTTTGGCCTGACCTGACATGACCTGGGGTCAAAAATTTCACACATTGTCTAAAATTGATGTACCTACCTATATACCTACTTTACAAAAGGTAGGACTCCAAGTGTCGCGGCGCCGGGCGCTACGCGCCGCGGTTTTTTATTTACACCCAAAAAACGCGACAGGGTGGTAACATATGCCCCATCCCCCCACTGGGGCGAAGGTTAAGTTTTGAAGGCATCCGTACTTCCTAACACGATACTGACTCATTTAAAATTTCACTTTTTCCCCATTGCGATAACAAAGAGACCGAGACTGCGGTGTCCCCGTACGCAGGATTCTGGAGACTATCGGACGGGTGTCGGGCTAAAAGCTTTAGTTCTCAATTAAATAAAGAACAATAATTTCTTTTAATACTTTGTAACACCTAAGTCACTAGAAATAATTTGTACGGGCTTCCAAAAAGGTTATATTAAATATGTAAGATCCACTACAACATTTTAGCTGCCCGAACCTGTAAATGTAACGCATGCGTCGTTATTGAAAAGTGCTAAAGCATAGTATTCTATGGCTGACAAATATTCTGCGTCTGTCAGCCAAAACTGGCCAATCAGAGGCTTTGTAATTTCTGGGTGTAAATCGAAAACATGCTTGCTGTTGCTGCTGATCATCTGCTGATCATAAAAAGACGGCGACAGAACACGACGGCGTAAAGAGGCGGTAAATTCAATTTCTTTTTTATTTGCGATAGGCGGTCTAGGGGATTTTCAGGGTGTATGGGGGACATGCCTAAGAGCTGGACTTTTTGCACGCGTTCCCCGCCAGGGGGCGCCACTGAGGAAGCACCCTCTGACGTCACGATAAAACTGCGCGCACTGTGCGCACGGTTCTGTAAGCAAGTAATATAGTGGTGGTTTAATGGTGGAAATTGGAATAAGTATTTGAACGTTGTAAATTTTCAAGCCGTTTTTGTGAAAGTAAGTAGCAAATGCATTTCAAAAGTATTTATTTAAAGTGTGAAATGAGAATAATTAGAAGGACATGGATATTTTTGTTCCAATAGCCTATTATGTGAGAAATGATCGGTACTAACGGGTACTTCTAAGAAGTAGTGAAGAAGTACCAAACAGCCTGCTCGGCTACGAGCGTATATATCTTTCCCGAGCGAAAAAAACAAACATTCCAGTTTTTTGGCGCTTTTGTTTCAATTGTGGTGGTTCTGTTCGAAGGCTCATACAGATGGTGTTTGCGCAAAATTTCTTACGGGAAATCACCGACTATTTAGTGTCGACAGCTGCATATTACCTTTTTGAACACGCCTCCATCACTGCTTGTTTATTGGCTGTCTGTTGTATTGGGCTGTGTTGCTGTATAGTGTATATACCGTGTGTTTTGCTGGGTGATTGTGATAATATTTTGATGATTAACCTTTTTATTCAGCGGTAGATAATTCTAAAAATCCCAGGGGGTGCTACAAACCCCTAATTATCCACCCCTGTTTTTTTTATTTTAAGTTCCATCCAGTACCAGTATGAGTGTTTATGGCAATGGAAGGTAGGTGAAACATTTCATTATTGTAATTTTAATCTTTTGAGACATGAATTTCAACATTCTCTTGAGAGCCTGAGAGCATTCATGCCAAGGTTTCTGAGTCTGTTTCATGATAAAGAGACAATATTTATAATGGAGTCAACTTGTGGGTCAAGTCAGCAGAACTTGAACTTGATAAATGAGTACCTATGACATCACCTCTACACCTGTCGCCTCCTGTATTGTAGTGATGGCAGGTTCAATGCTGAGTCTCAGAATAATAGCCAGCGAGCGTATACTGTTGTTTTGTATTTCTATGCCCGATCGGCCCCAATGTCTTGCATTTCTAAATATTGAACTGTAATGAATGAGACGCTGTAATGAGGTACTGTAATGAAAAGACTGCCTCAGACTGCAAGGTTCTATTTAACCAAATATGACTGCATGTCTGCTACAGAATGAAACACTGACAAACACTGACACTGACATCAGGCACTGACAAAGTGAATGCACAAGAACGATAAGGACTTCTGGACTTCAGAGCAAGAGATACACCTGACGCTCAGGAACGCTGCTGTCACCACATATAGCATACAGCACCCGGTCGTGCCCATCATTAGCCTACAAGCCCCACCAGACGCTAACCGGCCACGATTTTCTGCATCGATTTTCTGCATCCCCTGCATCGTTCATCACAGATGGCTATAATTAGGATCTGAA